AGTTTTCTATTTCAGTTGGAATGCAGCTAAAAACAAATATACACTAAATTAATTATAGTAAAAGAAATTTTATTTTTTTTTTTTTTTTCTGTTTCGCTTAAGCAGAGTGCCAACTGCTTAGCCTTAAATAATGATTCATATATTTATGATTCGAATTAACATAAATTAGCTTGCAAACGTGTGTAATCTAGTCGAACTGGTGCAGCCAGTTCGTGTCTTACGTCTTTCGATTTATGTTTAGCATATATATGCGAGCACGTTTTATATGTGGCTGAGAGGGGGAAGGGATGCTCATACACTTGCATTTGGGGCCATTTTAAGTAAGTTGCCCAATATGTAACACGCGCTGAAAACGAGGCCGATTTAACTGAATGTGTCAAATATTATGCATGTCGTATTTTTTAATAACCAAATTTATATCATTTACTAAACAAACTTAGATTACTTAATTTTTTATATATTGTACATATGTACATTTTTTAATTTTTTACTAAAGTTAACATTTATTAAAAAAATTACCTAATTGTCTCCAATCTGCTTGTTTTTTTGAGTTTATGTTAAGCCATAAGAAATATATAAATTATATATATATATATATATAATAACATTATATGCTTAAGCTCGCATACATATAAAATTTACAACCAATCTGTGAAAAGAAAAACTCTGCAGTCAACAAAAATTAATTAATTAATTTGTAACAAATTTAGAGATTTAAGATCTATAAATATTCTCCAAGAAATTATTTCGTTTTCATTTTTAATCAATTTATATATATGTTTTTATTAGCAGTCGCAGCAAATATTAGAGCATTTTATATATCGTTTACACCCAAAGTTTTGCCTTTCATTCTCGTTAGCATGAAATAAATTTTTGGGTATTTTTGAAACACATTTATGGAAAGTTGAAACAGATACCCATTGAGAGTTAGAGAGAGACAGAAACAGAGGCAGATAAAACTTGGATAGATCAGCAATCAACTTTCACAAGAATCAAGCCTAACGAGCTACACAAGTTTTTTTCTGGCTTAAAAAAAAAAAATATTTTGAAAAAAAATTATAGTCAAAGTCGAGGTCAGGGTTCAGGCAGCCGCAGCGTAAAGCGTTTATTTGTAAGACGCTTGTCGTGTTTATTGTCTATTAAACTTGATACCAAATGCACACACACACACACACACACAGACATAGACAAACATTGCCTATAAGATCATATTTCATCAAGATGGCAAAACAATTGTAAAACTGATGGCCGTCTTGCCTGAGCGGCTGCTATTTGTATTTGTATTAGAAGGCAGTCCAGACGAGACTGGGCAGCGCACTTGAGACTTCATCTTCTGCAGCTTCTTCTGTATTGTTGTTGTTGTTGTTGTTGTATGTATTTGCTGTATTTGAACTCAAGTTCAGTTTGCACTGGGCGTGCGTACAAATTGTATTTGTAAACATCTCAAACCCAATTAGATAAGCTCGCTATGCGTGTTTCACCTGTTTTCACAAATGGTTTGACATCTTCACACTTTAGCATTGGTGATTTAAATAAAAAATTAATTAATTAACGGACCAAAAGAGATTTGCATTTGCATTTGCTAAAAACTTTCGCAGCGAGAAGAAATTTTGCTGGTCCCTTTGTCATTTCCAGCGAAATTTTACGTGACTTTTACAAAAGTTTTTTGGTTGTCGTTGTTGTTGTTGTTGTTTTGGTTGATTGTTTCGGCAAAAAGCATGCTTTGATTTATAAGTTGGCTTAGAAAACGGTTTACGGTTAAGGTCGCTCAACACCAGCTGCTGCTGCTGCTGCTGCTGCTGCTGCGACTGCCGCTGCCCAATTGATCGATTGTTGCGTCAGTTTTGATGACTGCGATTACCATTATGGCAATTTACACGAGTCGCTTACAAATTGTGCGCACAGCTGCTGCTTGTGCTGCTGCTGATGGCTGGCATTGAAAGCAATTGTTAATGCGCGCCAAAAACCTAAATGCCAAAAACCCAAAGTAGAAAAAATTACCAATCAGAGAATGAGCTAATCAAGCGGCGACTGCTGCTGCTGCTGCTGCTGCTATTAAATGCCCTCTGCACATGCGGCACAAAATACTTAAACGTATCAAATCAAGGCTGTGTCTAACTAATTAGGAGGGCAGCGCGGCAGAAGTGTGTTGTCTCTATATGTGTATGTGTATGTATATTTATAGAAACGTATTTATTTATCAATAAATTGTCGTGGTTTATACAAAAATTTAACACCAAGTTGTTAAATAAGCGTTATTTTGATAAGCTGTAGAGCTCAGCTTTCGCAATGAGACAAAGGGGGATGGTCAAGAGGCTTACTGAAGGTTGACAAACATACGTATATACATATATATAGATCTATATTAAAAATTGTCATTCAGCAGTTAAGTATCCACTGATTCGACAGCCTCAACTGGCGTAAACTTCAAATTAAGAAAAGACAAAAATCAAAATGTAATACATATATGCACATATATACATTTATAGCGGAAGTATACCTTTATAAGGTCATCTCAGCCTACTGCTACACTCTGACACACACACACACACACACACACTCACATGTGTGCTCAGCTTTTGATTGAGAGCTTTCGACACATGCGCGCGCTCGACAGTGCATGACCCCTAGGCGCATATCAAAAGACTTAAGCAACGAACTTTAAGCATAACCAATAATAAAAAAATAATTATGCACTAACTTTAACATCAATTTAAAGTTTAAATTTAACTCTGTGCTATGCTAACTATTTAGTCAATATTTATTTTTAGATATTTGCATAGAATAACAGCTGCGCATTGATTACAAAGCGATGATATATGACTATTTTCATGGAATATTACAGAGCTTAGCAGATATCTCTGGTTATTGTTGTTGTTGGAGATGTTGTTCTTGTTGTTGTTCAATCAAGATGCGCTCCAAGGTTTTTTAATTCTGATTGAGCCAACGTCTGCCAACTCGCTCACTCCAATTGCTTAACTAGCTCTTGTTCTCGCTCTCTCTCCGTTTCTCGCCCCCTCCCTCTCCCTCTCTCACTCTCTCTCTCTCCCTTGCTCGCAGTACACTTTGTATTTCTAACCAGTTTCGGCGCCCGCACATTAGACAAATCAGTCGACTGGTTTCGCTTGCCTTATTCTCACTTTTTTGTTGATTTTTTATACACTTTTATTCTCGCTGGACTTGAAAGAAAAAAATGAATGTTTTATTGGCATTTCGTTTATTGAAATTCTTTGTAGCAGCTTGTTAATAAAATTTTATAAGTCTCTAAGCTTCCAGACATCGCTTGACCACACAGACATAGACATAGACAAATACTTCTAGTGCTCACTGTGCGGGGGTTCGGTTGTTAGATGCAAATGCAGATGCCATCCGGTTTTGCTTTTGTTTTTGAATTTGTTTTTCTTTCATTTTTGCAGCTGGCTTAGGCAGCCAGCGCATTGGCAATGCGGTTCAGCTGCATTCCAGGCATGACTAACAAACGCCAAAGAGTTATTACCCTCAAGGTCACTTGTGTTGTTGTTGCTGGCTGGCGTGTTGTGTATGACTTGCGATATCGGCGAATCGAACTGCGTTAGCTTTTCGCCTGAGTTGAATTTCAATTTGAGTTTGAATTTGAAGTTTCAGTCATTCGATTCTAAGAGCCTGTCAAATGGGCCAGATAAAAATCAAAATCGTAGCTCTCGGCGGCCTTTCAAAGACCCACAAAGTGCGATGAGTTCGGTTGAACAAAACCCACAATTAATTACGCGTAGATTCTTTAAAACAACAGCTAGAGAGAGAGAGAGAGAGAGAGAGGGAGAGAGACAGAGAGGGAGAACGAGATAGAGACAACAGACATTTGTCTCATTTGTATTTAATGAAAGTATTTAAAGATATCGTCTCTGACTCAGAGTGCAAAACATTTGGACTTGGCGAACTCCGCTTCGCTCAGCATTTCCTTTGTGATTAATGATTTACAAGCAACGGGCAAGAATTTTGTATGCTTTATCTCTCTCTCTCTCTCTCTCATTCACGCATTCCCTTCCTATCTCAGTCTTCCTTTTTGGCCATTCTTTTGTACCGTGGAATTGCGGTTGCCGCTGTATTTGATTGTTTTTGCTCTTTGATTTTAGAAATGATCTCATCTGCGACAGCATCCACAGCCCACATTGGATGAGCATTCGTTACGGCAATTGTGAAGGCTGAATAATTACTAAAACCAGCTGTCAACCAATATATCCAATAAACAATTGGCAGAAGCAAAAACAAAAAAAAAGCACACATAATTGAAATATTGCTCAGGTATGAAGCTAAGGTGTGTCCCCTAATCTCTTCTGCAAATCACAGCTCATCAAATTTAACATCGAGCAGATTCTTAAGATATTTAAGAAGATATTTGCTGTAAGTTTTCATAGAAACTCTAAGTTTTTATAGATTTATATTCTAATTATTTATTTAAATTAAATTTCATATTATTAAGAGCAAGAAATAACTATATATTAATTATTTTATAATTACATAAGTAAAATCAAAACTATATTTTTTAAATGCTCTCATCAACATTTTTAAATATTCTTATTTTATGATTTTTTTTAATAAAAACCGAATACTAAATAATCTCTTTTTTAATTTATCACGTAAATATTAATATACTATAGATTTTTAAAATTTACTTTCTAATATTTAATAGTATTAATAAATGTAATATTTTATATACACTCTAAGGCCAGCACACGCATATTTAAAACAACCAAAATATACTTAATTGTTCAAGCCCAAAGTTTTGCTTGAGCAAAACAGGAAATCACCTGTAAACTGTACACTGACTGACCAAATCCCTTCACTTATTCAGTTTATTGTTTAATAGTTCCATTGCAAAATACGTTGGGTATTTCAGAGAAAAGAAATATAAATAAATTTATGCCCATGCGCTCCTGCCAGGCCGTGCCAAGCCACGCCAGGCCGAGTAAACAAAACAAAAGAACAATAAATGGCAAATGCGAATTCCTTTTGATGCTCACCTTCGAAACGGCAACAGCTGCAGCAAATTATGTGATGTAGGCGGCGATAAGTTTCGAAAATAACAACTACAAAATAGGTAGCAGTAGCAGTAGCAGCAACAATGTGAAGCGCAATGTTCCAAAGGGTGAGCTGCAGCTCCTGGTCGGCGCGGCGTCGCTGGCTGAAGACGAGACGCGTCGGATAAAAAGAGCTAATCAAAAGTTACGACACGCACGCGCTTGCAGCGAGAGATGGGGGAAAGAGATGGAGGGAGGTCTTAGCACACGATCAAAGTCAAAACAATGCAGTCGCGCGGCACTTTGAACGTAGTGTTACGATCTAGGCAACGGTACTCCGCGCACACCCCTAACACACACTAACTATCGTCGATCGCAGCACCCACACGAACACACATAGAGACGAGCTAACACACACACACATACACTCGGTCGTTGGCTGATGTTGTTGTTGTTGTTTCTGCGATGTGTTAATCAATAAATATCGAATGCGCATCGAATGTACATTTCGCTTTGGTGCATTTTGTTGATAATTAAATACTTTTCGCTTGATTTATTGCAATGGCGCGTTCTATGCGCGCGGTAAGCTACAGTACGTGCCTTGCACAATTGGGCGGGCAAGCACAGACACTACAACACAAGCACTACAACTCTGGCGCAGCACACACGTCTGTTCTGCAGCAGATCGAAATTCAAACTGGCGACCACAGCTTAAGCCGAACTTGTATGCACCTGCACACAGAGTCAGAAATAGAGAGAGCTGGACCTATCAAGAGCGAGCAAAGCTTCAGAGCTCTCCTATTGAGACTGCTTGCTATATTACTGACGATCTTTTTCTGACAGTCTGGCAGCACCAAACCTTACACAAATTAGCTGAGCGGTCAGGCTCTCAGAGAGAATATACGGAAGAGCTTTTGTGCGTTAATCTCTGCATTCCAATTAGAATTCTAGTTGGAGACAAATATAAACATTCTTTTATTATTTACATTTAAAACCCATGTTTATTCACGTTATTTTATATATTGTTGATCGGGGTAGATCCATTGGGATATATTTATAATAATATAATATTTATTTACTCGATCTATATAAAAATGCATTGCCATAAAGACAAGTTCAGCTCTCAATAGGGGATTTACAAATACTTTTTTCTTAAATCAATTAATTATACATATATATTGACACTTAAGTTGCGTATTTCTTAATAGTTAAAAGTTATAAAATCGAGCAGATTTGTTATAATTTTTCTAAGACAATTTATCAATTACTTTACTTAACGTAATATGATTTCCTCTGCATTTTATACTTAAAATGAATTGGCAGAGCTAATTTACTCACCCCACACAATACTCTCAATCCAATCAGTATAGAGGTAGACCTTGGTGTACACTGATGGACGACCTCTGGTGCCGCAGATGCCGCCAAAGGAAGTGATGCCAATTAGAAGCTTGAGACAACTGTAGCGCGGATGCTGCACGAAAATGGGTCCACCCGAATCGCCGTTGCAGGTGTCGCCGATGCCGTTGATGGAGCCAGCACAGAATTGGGTGCGCGATTCGATTTCCACTTCGAGACGCTCTTCGCATAGATCATCATCGAAACGTTCGAGGGATACCTTGAGCAGGTGCGAGGACTTATGGCCAGCATCTGCCGTGAGTCCCCAGCCGGCAGCTGTTAGCTGTTGCTGATCGTTGCCCGTGCTGGGCGGCAGGCAAGCAGGTGCCACGTACTCATTTAGAGTCGCATTCCTGTCCAGCTCGATTATAGCAATGTCGTTCTCCACTTTGTTGTCGTCATCGTCATTATAGGCGGGATGCACCACGTAGTTGATAACCTTAAAGTCTTGCGGCTGGGCATCATCTGCTGTGCTGTTGTAGTCCAGTTCGCCCAGACGAACCACAAATTTCGGCGAATCGAAATTGGGATCCAAGCGCTGCTCCTTGGTCTCAGGAGTTTCCAGGCAGTGCCCAGCTGTGACCACAAATCTCGGATGCACCAAGGTGCCACCACAATCCCAATTTATTTCGCTTTTGCCACGCTTCGTGATCCCAATCAGAGCCATGAAAGGAAATTCACGGCCAGCCGCCTTGGTGCCGCCCACGATAAAGGGCGACTGGTGACAAGCTGCTCTGATATCATTAAAGTGTTTGCATTCTGTGAAATATTTAGATGAAGATCAGATCACAATATATATAAAACTGTTACTGGTAATGCTTACGCTTCTCATAGGGACGATTCTCCTCCACAGGCTCCACAGCTTTCTTTTGATTATTCCGAGGCAGCGGACAGCACACGATTTCGTCTATCTCGTTGCAGTACTTAATTTCGTTGGCTATCAAATGCTGTATAAAGAATATAACTGGACAATCCGTAGCAGTCAACTCCTTGCACACGCCAGTGCCTCGATCGCACAGTTCACAGCGCGCATAACAGAGAAACAGCGTTAAGAGTAAGCCAATCCAAGCGCGCATTGCGAGTAACAGTGCGACTGCAACTGAATCGCCGACAGAGTTAGCCACCGGGCAAACCTGCTCCCTAAGCTCAGCTGAGACAAGTTCTGGTCAACAGTTGAGAGTGTGTGAGAGCGATCATTAAGAGTTCTAGACAGCAGTTAAAACTATGAATTACAGAGAATTAAACTAAGGCTAATTATTGTTGTAATTGTTGTTGTCTTCATCTAGTTGTGACGCATTCCCATATTTTGCATATGCTGTTGTTGAAGCTGCATGTGCTGTAAGTACATTTGCTGCTGAGTATTGCCACCGCTGCCCAGTGGCAAGCTGGTGGTTGCTGCACTCACTGGTGGTGCTTGTGGTTGTTGTTGTTGTTGTTGCTGCTGTGGTTGCTGCTGTTGTTGCTGCTGTTGTTGTTGTTGCTGCTGCTGCTGCTGTGCAGTATGCAAAGGCGACTGAGTTGAATTTGCATTGGCATTTGCATTGGCCTCAGCACTAGAAAATTATAATAAATAAACAATAAACAAGTAACTTGCAAGTAAAACTTACATTTTCTCTGTATGTATATCCTCAAGATTTAAATGAGTTATGAAACGCAAGCGCATTTGCAACTGCGGTCGCAACTTCTTGATAATTGCCTCTGATTCGTTTTTGATAATATTGCCAACGTGAATGTACTTAATGTGATATCTAAACAGAAATAACTATTAGCATATATACTCCACATAATCTAATCAATTGCTTACAGGAAATCACAGATCTGATCCATATACTCCAGGGGTTTGGGTCCATGATGTTTGTCCACATTTTCCAGCATTTCATAGAGGAATATAGCAATGCCCGCCACTGCATTCGGTTTCTCCTGTTCGATGCGCTGCAGGAATGGTCCGAAGACGTGACATAGATAAAGCAACTGATGTTCGGTGCGCACACAAGGCTTCAGCTTCTCCTTGATGTATCGCGTCATGGCTGCCAGCTTAAAGGCGCCCATATGATGGAAAACTGCGTGCGCCACAGCCAAGACAACAGCATAGCTCTTCTCCAGCATGGCCTCACGCACAGTCTTAAAGTTGAACAACTCAAAGGCATTGAATCGATATGTCCAGTTGAGCATGTTGGGCGTGTTTAGCATATCCTGCAGCCGATCGTAAATCCCACTCCAGTATGGCTCCGGCAGAGCAGCCAACACAATGCCGACTGCATTGATATAGCTGTGTATCTCTTTTTGCGGTATCACCGCATAGCCATTGACAATCACATCGATTATGTTGCCCGCAACCACAGAAGGCGCCAGAGGCAGGCCAAGCAACTCCACACAGGTCACATAGAGCGCATGAGTGGGTGCATTGGGAAACTCATTGAAACGCCAATCGGTGGTGTAGAAGACGTTTTTGCCACTGATAGCTGAGTGGGATACATGTAGACAGATTAATTAGCAGTTGGGCGTGGTTCAAGTACTTTCAGAGCTCTACTCACTGTCTGCCAGTCGTCTGATGAGATTCATGTAGTAGCTCAGGTCAGGCGTCCATAGTGGATCCTGACTTTGCAGATATACCTTATATGGCTCGCTCACACACCAATTGGCTGGACGTATCTCGCTAAAGGCGCTTGTAATTGCGCTAACCTGATGTGGCAAAATGTATTGAAATAGAAATTTCGACTGTGCTGTAAAAGGCGGCTTACCAGCTTCTTCTTGAGAGGCAGACGATCGCGCAGAATACGTTCATAATAGTGCAATGTATTATACAAATAAGTAATGGGACGATCTACAAGCAAGAGATATAGGTTAAAAAATTCAAAAAGAGGAAGTGAAACTTGGAGACTTACCATGAAATTTATACAGTATACTCAAGTGATCCAATATAATGCCTAGGATTTGATGCACATTCGGTATAGTCAGCTCAATAAAGCGATGTACCACCACATCGAGCACTGGCAGAAAACGTAGACACACATTGCTGAAGTAAACGGGCAGTGGAATTTGCGATGCACTCTCATCCGGTGCGAATTTCTCGGGATAGTTCTGATGAAATTGCAGATGCTTCTCATGCCTGCCAGCAGAAAGTAGAATGAAATTCAGGTTCAATTTAAATTTAGTTAAAGATCAATTTAGTTAGAGATCAGTTTACCAATTGCTTTGCTTCCAATGATCAGGATTATTGTCCTTGCAGAACTCTTGAACCCGATTGCGCAGCTCAGACGCTTTTAACAGCAGAAGTTGAATTGTGATTAAACAGACCTGCGCCTCGTTGCCCTCGTGTGTGCGCAGAGCCAGGCAGAGCACAAGCCGATCTATGGTCACCACATTAAATTTCCAGATCATATTATTAATAGTATCCACACATTTGTGTATAAAGTCGCGACCATCCGAGGAGCTGGCCACTTCGGCAACCAAATAATCGCAGAACTTGCGGAGATGAGTGGACAAGGCCCGAGCGCTGATGCCCTCCAGAATTCTAATAATATAAAGAGTAAAGCATTACAAAAAATGTTGAGAGGGAACTAAATTAATAGCGACTTACTTGTATGCCACGGGACTGATGCTCTCCGTTTCCCAGATGATCTTAAAAAGCAGACACAAAAACAAAGGATTTGTATTGGGCCTGATGAAGTGAGCAATGATGTCGTTCTCATTGGACATGGATGTCCAATTACGGTACTCCTCCTCCACAGACTTTTTCAGCTGTTGCTTATTCTCAACCGGATGATTGTTTTGTAGGAAATACTCGTTCAGTGCGTGCGGGAAGCATGCTAGCGATTGCACGGGCCATGAATGAGGCGTGTGCTGCATTATGTTGGATAGAAAATCCTTGCACCAGCCGGCTAATTCATCACCGCCGCCATGAACGTGCATGGAGCGTGCCAGCGTCAAGATGAGGACACGATTAAGTTCCTCGCTTTCATTTGATGCCACGCCTCCAGGTGACTTGTCATTCAAATACCGAGAGAACTGCGACTGAAACTCGGCGGAACCAATGCTGGTAATCAAACGCAATGCGGTCGATTCAAAGCTACGAAAAATAAAATTAGTATAACAGAAAGATAATTTGATATTTGCAGACTTACCATAGATTCAATTGCATCTTATTGGTCTGCGGCACGGAGGAGAGCGAATAGAGTAATGAGAGCAATTGCACGCGATAATGTGTGGGCACATGATGCAGTCGATAGGAGAACATTTCCATTAGCGTGTGTAGCATGGCCCAGGCATGATTCTTGAATACAGTTGGCAGCAATTGAGCTTGGGAAT